AAATTTTGGAAACTTATAATGTTTAACTTTTTTTTAGAACAATTTGAAAATGACTCTTTAGAGTTTTTAAACATTTTATTTATTACATTTTCTTCCTATATGGCCTCACTGACCCAACCCTTAGGGTAGGTTGAAACGTGTGGGTTGTCCTTCAGGGACACAGATTTCCAAAAGTAGGGATAAATTCCTTAAAGAAGGGAAGATCGTTCATATTTTGCATCTTTTACAATTAAGCTAAATTTTTATTATTAAAAATGATTATTTTTATCATTAACAATTATTATTTAATTTATTTTACATATGGGGCATTCTATGGGAAATTTTCATTGAAAATTTATTTTTGTCCGAAACCTTTTTTTTCGAAATCTATATGACAAACAAGGCAATACGTATTTTTTTATTTGATGAAAATGAAGGAAGTCATGATTTTTTGAAATTTAACGTCAACAAAGAAAGAGTGTTTTTGGAACATTTTTTAATCTATTGTACTAAAAAATTAAAAATTATGCTATATATGAAATTTGTTCATTTTTCTCAAATTTTTCAAATATGTGCTCAAAAATAACGTACCTATAACAGAAGCAACAAAAAAGTTGAAATTAAACTTATAAAGTGAGTTTTCTCAAAAGAGACACTTTCAACTTTTAATTTTTTTTTGCCTTACAATCTCTGATGATTGAAGAATTTTTTCCCCTATCTGCGAAAGTGGTATTTTTAGTTTTTAAATTACTATTTATAATTTTTTTTAGTACGGCTCACAGAATTTAAGCATTTTTTCTACAAATATAACCTTTTTCCATTAACATTCATTTGTTTTTTTAATTTTCATAAAAACATACTAAAAATCGTTGCGTTAAGCTTAAAAATTGTAATAATAATTTAAAAACTAAAAGTACCACTTTCGCAGATAAGGAAAAAAATTCTTCAGTCATCAGAGATTGTAATGCAAAAAAAATTAAAAGTCGAAAGTGTCTCTTTTGAGAAAATTCACTTTATAAGTTTAATTTCAACTTTTTTGTCGCTTCTGTTATAGGTACGTTATTTTTGAGCACATATTTGAAAAATTTAAGAAAAAATGAATAAATTTCATATATATCATAATTTTTAATTTCTTAGTACAATAGATTAAAAAATGTTCTAAAACACACTTTCTTCGTTGACGTTAAATTTCAAAAAATCATAACTTTCTTCATTTTCATCAAATAAAAAAATAAAAAAATACGTATTTCCTTATTTTTCATATAGATTTCGAAAAAAAATGTTTCGGACAAAAAAAATTTTCAATGAAAATTTCCCATAGAATGCCCCATATTCGTTTTTGAATTTTTATTGTATGATGATTTTTAAGAAAGATACAATTTATAAATTTAATTTGTTTATAATTTTTAATAATAATTATTATTTTTCACTAATTTATATAGTAACTTAACCTGATTTTCTAATAAAAATCGAAATTATTTAAAATATTAATTATTTATAACTATTTATTGTTTAATATCGATATAATTTAATTATTGTTAATTATTATCCATTTTTAGTTTATAATTATAAACATTTTTTTTTATAATTTTTAACATTTTTATCAAAATTAACTATTAGTTGTTAAAGAAAATGATATTAAAATTTATTTAACAATAATTGTAGTTTAAAACTAATTATTAAATTTGCTTAATTTTTATTTTTATTCAAATTATTTAATATTTATTTATTGCATTCATTCATGTTGAGAAAGGCATATATACAGTATACATACATATATGTATATTTTAACATGTGCATTTTTGGTATATACATATATATATATATATGTTCGAAACCTAGACTAATTTTATTGCTACCAGAAGGGTACGCTGGCGACAGGGACTATAACGCTTGTCGTGAAAACCGAAAATGAAAGGAAAAGGACCCCAGCGGTCGACATCTGGAGGATGCACTTGTAGAGTTCCGAAAAGATTTTTATGGTTGTATTTTATAATTTTATTGCTTACGGATGTTTCAGTTTCTTAGATTTTTGGAAAAAGTGCATTCTGTATATGTTGACCACTAAGGTTTCACGTTTCATTATCTGATTAAAAAAAGAAACAAGAGAAAAAACAGATACATTATAATAAGTCGGTGAATAAGAAGAAATAACATGATTTTTTAAATAAACAGATGTTTTTTCTTAAGAAGATAAGAAACGTGGAAAAAATTAAATATAGAGAAAAAAATAAAGTCGAAAAAATGACCAAATGTAACATTAAGAAAAATTTTGTTAAGACTTTTTCACTGTGCTCTGTCAGTACAACTTTTCATTTTTCAAAATTTTTATTTTTGAAAATTATTGTTAAAAAAATTTCAGAAAACATAAATTTCCATGGAAAATAAGAATTCTAGGAAAAAGTTTATTGAAACTATTTTACTGTGCTCGGTTAGCACAAGTCAGCACAACTTTTCATTTTCAAAAATTTTTTAATTGCAAAAACTTAATTTTTCATGGAAAAAAAACAACTGTTATTTTTTTGGAAAAAAACAAAATGGCGTTGCCAACTTCTTAGACATGAAGATTCTTCGTTGGAAAAATTCCCACATTATTCCTTGGAATTCCTCGTAATACATATTTCATAAGTGTCTATTAGTGAGCGAGTTAAACAAAACGTTTAATAATTTACCAGTTTTTTTTACTACATAATTTTTTTTGTAATTTAAAAAAGAAATACTTTATTTCTTTATATATATTTTAGTAAATTATAGTTTCTGAAGATGAGGGCTGTGCAGTTGACTCGTAAAAAATGATCTTTTCATGGTAATATTATAGTAACATTACAGTAATTTTACAGTAACATTTTTTTCACATAAGATAACTTCGAAATCGCTTTTACTGATATAATTTCTATTCTACACATCATAAAGTATCGTTTAGGAAAACAAAAAATCGATTTTATTCGGGTCAAAGGTGGGGGCTTTTCACTAAAGGACATCCAAAAACGAAGATGTAAAGTAAGGAGAAAAAAATTATGTGGAAAGCAAAGTATTAAATAAGGACGTTTTCCGTGCAGGGGAGGGATACCCCAGTGATGGCGCTGCTGGAACTGAGCAATTCGGTTGAAAAAACTTGTGCAAAAAAATGTACAAGTTCTTGTACCTGTTCACTAATGAACTTGTACATTTTCTTGTACATGTTCAAGTAATGTTCTTGAACAAGTTCAGCATCCGGAATTGAGACACGTTCTTTTATAAGAACTTGTACAAGATCCTGGACAAAAAATATATTTGTATAAGAAATTGTACATATTTTTGTGCAGGTTTCATGTACATTTTCTTGTACCAGATGTGCAAATTGTTCTTGTACATTTTTATTGTTTTTTAAATTCGGAGGTAAACCGAGAAGAGCAAAACAGTAAAAGAGACCGTATCCATGACAAGCGGCTTCGGCGCTCAGAGAGGTGCACAAACGAAGAAAAAACTCTGGTAGTCCGGAAAGGACTGACACCGAGGCAAAAAAGAAAAAGCAAGAGGAGGCACCTCTTGTCAAAAAGATTGTTAAGTATTGCGAAGCAAACCGGTAAGAAGAAAGCGACGGGTGAACTTTCAATGGTGATCTGAGTCGCAACAGAAACAATGCACGCCGATGAGAAAAATTTGGGCGTCAGTCATACGAAGGTGGTGGGCGCAAGGCCTACAAAAAAGGGAGAGCTCCTTATACATATCGGAGGAGACTTCAATAAGAAGGCATTTACCGCTGAGATCACAAAAGAGGTTGGAAGCATTGGGAGGGTGCAGACCGGGCGAAGACGTTCGGGCGAAAAAATTCGGGTAATTGTACATTAGGGCGAATATTCATTCGGGCATTTGGATTCGGGCGGGTGTTTTCGGACGTTTGGGTGGATACCCACTGGAGATCCACGACCTGGATTGCCTTACCCAGAAAGAAGAGGTTCAACAGGCGTTGGCGGAAGTGTTCCAGAAGCCAAGAAGCAGGAAAATTACAGTCCTAAGACTCAATCAACGAGGAATAAAGCTCGCGGTTGCAGTCTCAAATTCAAAAAAGGCAGACAGGCTGGAGAAAGTGGGACACATAAGGATTGGCTTTTTGTGTTGCCCAATAAAAAGAAGAGTGATGGTCATTTGGTGCCATGGGTGCTTAGCGTACGGCCACATAGAAAGAGTTTATAAGATATCGGACAAATCCATAAAAAAATTACGAAAGATCATTTTTTACGTTTCAATTTTACAGTCAACCTAATTCCAAAAATATTCAGAATGAACATTGCAGAGTAATATTCATATCTTCCATTGGAATATTCGTTAAAGATTCCTGAAATAAATTGTGATATCTAGGTACAGTGATATTTCTTTTTTAGCTTAATTGATTCCTTTATCAAAAAACATATATGTCATATTGCTTTGAATTGACTAATAGAACATATCCAGGATAGGATGATGTTTATCACTCTCATGGTCTATTAAAAAAAACAACACAAAATCCTGTCATGACCCTATTTAAAATCCCTGACAAGATCATCTTCTTGTACATGTTCATTTATGTCTTCGTTTAATAAAAATTAAAAACTTTAAAGGCTGCGCAGTAGTCTTCTTATAACTTTACAGCTGCGCCATAATTTTTAGCATACATAAGTAAAGAGTTTTAATGATTCTAAATTAATAAAATCTCAAATTTTTTTCAAACGAACTTGTACAATAACATGAACGGTTTCATGTGTAAGTACTTGTACATGAACCTGCATAAGAATATGTACAAGAACATCTATATTTTCTTGTATATAAATATTAAATTTATTTTCTTGTACAAGATGTGATACAAGAATTTGTTCCGAATCCTGGTGCCAGAAAATGTACATTTTTTAAACCAGATCTGATAGAAGTTCAGCTGCTGAACATGTACAATTTCTTGTACAAGGATTTTAAATACGGGAGACATCACCCTGAATTAATATCTTGATCGTATTTAATGAATTATTTTATTTGAAAATTAAATTATTATTAAATATAACTTGTACATGGATTTAGGAAGAAGAAGACTGTTATCCAGTAAGTGCTGAGTTGGTAGTGTTAAAAGGAAAATATGAAATACTTGACTCATTGCATAACATCCAAACCTTATTGCTTCCTCGGGATTATTTATACTTAATACACCCTGAACGACAGTATAAGATTAGAATTTATTTAAATATTATTTCTGCATATTATAATTTTAGAAGCAATTTCTTAAAATAACTTAGTACCTGGACACCCGTGATACTTAAATCTATTATACTGAGCCCAAATACGAAAAGATAAGCAGTTGAAAAAGCAGATTGGACATCATTGACATATCTCAAAATTAAAATATTTTAATTAATATAAATCAAGTACTGTGGTATTCTTTGCTGAAATTAATAATGTAATTTTAAATATATTATTTCTATTATGGTATATGTTCAATTTGTAAAAATTCTATGATATAGAAAAGCGGTTTAATTGAAATTCTGTCAAAAATAATTTAAATAAATATAAATTCGACTAAAAGAAAATTCCATTTCATGAAATTCTATCAAATTAATATTGTACTAAATTAATTTCAGGCCTTTTTTCGAAGATTTTTGCAAAATATTTATTGAAGATAGATTTCTTGGTCTTTCTTAAGGTTTCGTGGCGCAGGGCCGAAACCCTTATATTTTCGCTTTAGCGTCCGTTGTTATACACTCGTACGGTTGCCATTGTTACAGTTACCATAGTATCGTTTCCATGACAACTGTTGAAGCGGCCATAGATGCCCTCATAAACTTATGACGAGTAGGTGACCCGGTAAGAAGCGAATAGTTGAAAAGAATTCGCAGAGTTCCAATTCTTTTAAATAGGTGAATTTACGTTTTTATTCAATTCCTCGATGAAGCAAAAAAAAGTAGAAAAATCTATTCTTCTTAATTGACTTGGCCAAAATTTATACTCTAAATTATGTATATTTCTCTTATCAACCTGACGCAGTCAATTGTAAAACATAGAAATGCCTCATTTATTCTCCACATTTTCTATTCCTCGAAATACACTCCAAATGTCCTGACATATAGTCAATTTATAGAAATAAGTACATCTATATCACTTTTTAAATTTCTTATTGCTTTTAATACGCTTCGGAAATTTTGAAGCTGGCGATTGAAAGGAATAGACATTTAAAATTTACTCTCTAAACATTTAATTTCTTTCTATTCGTTTCTAAAAAGTTTGATAATAAAAAACTTTGCGCATAAAGAAAAATAAAAAGTTTGAATTCTTTTTTATTGACTTATCTGTACTGCAAGTAGAAAAGAATTCATTTTTTTTATTTAGATGTTTACTGGGAAATTGGATAAAAACGTAAATTCGCCTATTCAGAATAATTAAAAATGACAAATTATGTTTATTAATGCAAAATTTCAATTTTTCTCTATTCCTTGCTTCTTACCGGGGAGCGCAAGAGCCTCGGAAACATGCGATACATTAAAGAAATCTCGCTTGAAGGCCTTTCTCCAATATGAACCTAAACTTTTGCGTTGCGTAACTGACGCGTTGATTTTAGCATTGGTTGCCAATAGCAACCGACGCAATGCATACGCAACGCAAGAGTTTAGGCCCTCTCCAGAATGGAGCTAAACGCAACGCAGACGCGACGCAGCGCAATGCTAACCAAATGGGGATGCGTCGCGTCTGCGTTGCGTTTGGCTCCATTCTAGAGAGGGCCTTAGGATCCTATTGGAGAAAGGCTTTGATTCGCTCGATTTCCTTTGCGTATCTACGTCACAAGAGTTTGTTCGAGATTTCTTCAGAATCACTCGGATTTTGGGAAATCACCACTCATTCCGTTAGGCGCATGTATTCGGCTATCATGTTTCGCCACCCTACGTATCTCGCCGAGAAATCTTCAGGTATAATTTTTTATAATCAAGTTTGTGTTTCATGGACCACAAGGTTATTTAAATTTTGTAATTTTTATTCCTTTTTATTATATTTACCAGTGTGGCGGCGTTAATGGGGGTACCCAAGTAGCATGTAATATTACAGTAATATTACAGCAATATTACCCGGTAACATTATTGTAATATTACAGTGATATTAAAATGTCCGCCTCATGGTAAAATTACCGAATAATGTTACTGTAATATTACACGGTAATATTAAGGGGGGAACACCAGTTGTAACTTTCGAAAAATCGATTTTTTTTTTTGCATTTTCTTAAAGTATACATATTTAGAAATGTGTCTGTAAATTTTAAACTTGATCCGGTGAAAAATAAATGAGATATACAAAACACTGCAGCGGCGCGTCCCGTGGCTTCAGACAAGGTGGCCAGCCATACCTGACCCTAACGACAGATGGCCTTTTCCTATGATTTAGAAACGGCAACCACTGCGGAAGAGTTATTATATGGTCCAGGAATCGATGACTCTTTGTAAATTGGAAACAAAATTTCTTCTGAACAAAAAAAAGTAAGTTGAAACTTTGAATGCGTTTTTCTCAAAATGACATTTTCCAAGTCGGTGACCACGATTACTCGAATACCATGAAACCGATTTATTTAAAATTTAATGTGCTTCATTTACACATATAAGTCTAGTTCGTGATCGAAGGATTTTTTTTTTATGCAAAACTTTTTTTTATATAGCTGAAAATCGACCGTATTTTTTTAACGAAAATTATACTTTTGACTTTGACAGGTCGCCATTTTGTCAAATTTTTTTTTTTTTTTAAATCCTTCGATCACGAACTAGATAATCTTATAATAAATGTAAATCAATTTCATTTTTGTATTTCAGACGAAGTATACTTGCAGAATGCTGGTCACCGCAATTCGCCTTTTTTCTTAAGGCGCCACTTCAATGGCTCATATCTCTAAAAGTTTTTGTTAAAAAATACACGAGAATATTGCAGTAATATTAGAAGAATATTATTTCACGAAAAATAATGTACTCAACCGAGGAATCGAACCCAGAACTCAAGGCACACAAGTCCAGAGTTTTACCGACAAGCCATATTGACTTACAATATATTTATGATTGTGATGCTTTATGAGTGACTCAAATCAATCTTTAATATTACTGTAACATTACCGTAATATTACCGGGTAATATTACTGTAATATTACGTGCTAGTTGGGTAGATTTGTTGCTGAGAGGATATATTATGTATGATATTATATGATCTATCATCATGATTAGTCTACACCCTGGCGGATCTCGAAATCGGAATGTACGCTGAATTCGTTGTACATTCGTTACACATTGGTTAAACATTTAGTTGGAGTGAAAATTGTGTAGAAACTGAGTAGAAACTGTAGAAAAGTGTAATTGAATTGAATAATAAAAGTATTTAGTGATAGATTTGTGCTGTATTTGTGATAAATTAACGTGTTATTATTAAATAAATAAAGTTTAAAGTTTAAAATGTTCGCGTAAGTGAGTTTGACAGGCTAGGGAATTTTCTAGTGACATCCAACTTGATAGTCGATAAAGAAGTTGAGCCGCCGACTTTGCACGGTAGGTGTCAGCATTCATACTTTCGCCTTTTTAAAAATTCTCTTTTTCAATTGTAAATAGAAAAATTAATTAATTAATAAGTTATATAGTTTCTATGTTGTCATTTTTTTTAACAATTGAATTTTTGAAGATTGTTTAATGAGATAAATTACACTTGTATAATCGATGCAAATTGTTGTTTTTTAATTAAATTCAATTAAATTAATTTAATCATAATTTTAATAAAGAAAACTTTTTTTTATCTTTTTTTATTTTATTATTATTTATTTTTAATAGAAATGTAATTAAAAGTAAAGATTTATTTAAAAGTATTTTAAAAACAACAATTTGCATCGATTATACAAGTTTAATTTATCTCATTAAACAATCTTCAAAAATTCAATTGTTAAAAAAATGACAACATAGAAACTATATAACTTATTAATAAATTAATTTTTCTATTTACAATTGAAAAAGAGAATTTTTAAAAAGGCGAAAGTATGAATGCTGCCACCTACCGTGCAAAGTCGGCGGCTCAACTTCTTTATCGACTATCAAGTTGGATGTCACTAGAAAATTCCCTAGCCTGTCAGACTCACTTACGCGAACAGTTCACACTTTAAACTTTATTTATTTAATAATAACACGTTAATTTATCACAAATACAGCACAAATCTATCACTAAATACTTTTATTATTCAATTCAATTACACTTTTCTACAGTTCATGTAACTATTATATTATTTCATTATTTTCTTAAATAATAAAATTGTAATTAATTCAGGTAAATATAAATTAACATAATTTACTATTTTAATATAATAAATAAATAAAATCTATATTCACATGTTTTCTGAATATATTAGTATTTGAAGTTTTATGATATTTAGTATGTTTTTCTTTTTTATAAATTAAATTATTCTATTATCTATTATTGGCATTTTATTTATTGTTCCATTTATATATCATATATTTTTATATTAACCCTGGCGGATTCGATTTGCGTAATGTCTACTTAACTAAGCGGACTTTAGGTAGACATTAGGTAGACATGTAAAAAAACGTATAAAAAAGCTATTAATCGACTTATTATGATAAAAAAAGTTGATAAAAGGGTAAATGAATGTTTATAGAGTAAATTCGTACAAAATTTGTAATTAATAAAGCAATAAATAATTAATAATGAATGGAAATGTGCGCGAGGTACCTGATCAGTTCAGCTGTACAATTATTTTCGTGCTATTTTCATGAAAAGAATATAAATTAACGGCAAAAACAATTGATATTTATAAAAAAGTGTAAAATTGATTTAATTTTATTGTTTGCAATACGAATTATTAAATAATAATTAAGTTTTTATCAAATGTGAATAGTGTTGTGAAAACCTGTGAAAACTAATGAGTTACTACATTACCGATCGCATATGATAATAAAAAGTTCTCGATGAGTGTAACAAAAAAGCTGCAATCATGTCCGTAATTTTGGACGAGAAACAATTATGAAATCAATAATTATTTGTATAACTTTATTCTGCATTTTAAAATTCACTTTTTATTTTCTTTCAAAGCAAAAGCTTTGAAGAAAACATGCTCGCACTGTATTGTAAAAACTGGTGGCGCCATCTCTCATATGCGATCGGTAATGTAGTAACTCATTAGTTTTCACAGGTTTTCACAACACTATTCACATTTGATAAAAACTTAATTATTATTTAATAATTCGTATTGCAAACAATAAAATTAAATCAATTTTACACTTTTTTATAAATATCAATTGTTTTTGCCGTTAATTTATATTCTTTTCATGAAAATAGCACGAAAATAATTGTACAGCTGAACTGATCAG